GAGAGAGAGAGAGAGAGAGAGAGAGAGAGAGAGAGAGAGAGAGAGAGAGAGAGAGAGAGAGGCAGAAGCACCGGCTACCTTTAACGTTTTGTAGTAAATAGTCCGATTGATTTCTAGCGGGAAAAGGTTCTGCTCCTTTCCTGAGCGAGCCCAGTTCACATAACGCAACCAGTTTCCCTTCGCAGGGTCTGTGGCGTCCACACACATCCACCCCAAATTTGGGTAATAGACCTGCAAGTGTCACAGCAGGGGAAGGCGGGGGAGGGAGGGAGAGGGAGAGAAGAAAATGGGATGGTCAGAGCCTCAGCCTGGGATCAAGGAAGGGGAGAGACAGGCAGCCCCCCCCCGAGGACCCACCCCCCCATCCCCTGGGCTCCCTCCTCACTCCCCCAGAAGGCCCCCCCCAGCGAAGGGAGGGGCCGCTTCTCATCCGCTTTCCTTTACCTCCCACATGTACACATTGCTTTTCACTTGGGACCTTTTCTTCTTGTCACCAACGAAGGGGCCAAACTTCCTGCCTCTGAAAATGGGCTTTGCGGCCCAGACACCTGAAGACCAAAGACAGAAAGAAGAGCAGTGAGCCCCCCCGCCTGCCCCCCCAGGGCCTCGGCTGGCCGCTGTGGTAAAGGGGCCTAGACACCCCCCCCAGAGCGTTGCAAGCTCTTTCCTCCCTGTCAAAGTGCACAGCTCTGTGGCCTTCAGCCTGTGCACCGCCCAGGACCTGGAGCGCTTTGGGCTCGTGGAAAGAGGGAGGACAAGAGGCGGGCGGAAGGGCCTGGCACCGCCACAACCCTGCACAAACCGATGCAGCCACAGAATGGAGCCCAGTGAGGAGCGGTCGGTGTGTGTGAAAGACCACACACAGAGGGCCCAATCCAGGTGAGATGCCCCAGCCCAGGTTTTCTTGGGGTTGCTGCACCCTGGATTGCTCTGAGGGCGACATCCTCCCGCCAGGGCCCACCACCCCTCAAGCAGACGGGGCACGTGGGTAAAAACTAGGTTGATTAAATTTTAGCTAATTAAATACAGGCCGACAATCATTTGTGAGGTCTTTAATCACGGCAGACTCGTGTCGCACGAAGAATTACATCCACCGCCAGCTTCTGAGGCTGCTTCATATCCGAGGGGCCAAGCCAAACCCTGGGCACCCCGCGGCTTGCAGAAAGAAGCCCCGCCCCCCCCCCCCCCCATCCCCCCCCCCCCCGGCGCTCGTTCTGGGCTCACCCACCAAGCCGGGTCTTGTCCACAGTGGACGGGAGGAGCCTCACTTCCTCCGGAAGCCCTTTGAGGACGTGCTCGGGGACGTCGGCCAAAGTCTCAACTGATCCTGAAGGTCCGGTTGAGTTCTACAGAGGGAACCGGAACAGAGAAGAGGAGGAGTGGGCCCAGGTGGGCGCAGGAGACAGCGACAGAAGGCCGCCCACGCTGCAGTCAGCCACGCGATGCCCAGAGCCTGGCGCAGGCCTCTCCCTTTCGTCTTGGCCCTTGAATCCCTGGCCACGTAACCCTGGCTCCGGGTCCCCCAAACAGAACGGCCACCTTCCTTTCCACGGGCTCCTCCGGCAGGAGAGAACAGATGCCCCCAGCAAGTGGGGCTGGTGCAAAGAGGTTACCCTGACGAGGCACCCATCGGCCCCACGTCTGTGTGACACGGGAAGCTGTGTAAATGGTGGGAAAGGACGGCGATAGGGACCTTGACCTTATATCCTCACAGTCAAATGGCTGCCTGGTCTCTTCTTGAAGACCTTCAGCCGTGGAGCATCCACAAGTTCACCCGTTCCACGGATGAACTGTCCTCCACTGTCAGTAAATTCCTCCTGAGTTCTAGGTTGGACCCCTCTCTCTCTCTGATGGTGTTCACCCATTGCTTCCTGTCCTGCCCTCCGGGGCTCTGGAGAAACGTCTGCTTTTCCTGCCTCTCTAGGCCTCGCTGCCTCAACCACATCCTTGAACATCATCTTTCAAACATAAATTCCTTGCAAGCAGGGTCAGCAGGAAGAAAAGGTGGGGATGGAGCTAAGCAGATCCACCCCCTGCATGCACCGTCCTTCCTTCCCCACCTTGGCACACAAAGCCGCCTGCCGTTTAGACTCCACACATTCTTATAAACACCTGTAATACCGCAAGTGTGGGCTTTGGATTTAATGCCGCAGCTCCTGCAAACCTTCCTCTCTAGACATGTACGTGTGCGCCCTTAAATAAACTGTGTCACCCATTCACCAGCAAAGCCAAATTCCAGGACTGTATTTCAAAAGGATTATAAAGTTTACAATTAATGCAAACCAACCAATCTACACTAGAGGGCTGGCTCCCATGAGCTGGATCCCACATTCTGCTTAACCACAATCCCTGGGTTCTAAGAACAAAGGCAATCCAATCCCACATTCTGTCTCAGATGTGTCAGTTTATTAGTCAGCTAACGAGTGGTCTCCTCTGAGCCCTAGTCAGACACCGTGGGAAGGAGGGAAGGAAGGAGGGAAAGAAAGAAGGACCTTTTTGAGATAGTAGATGCATGCAATTTCTCATTTTCAGAGAAAGAGGCCTCCTTTGAAAAGGACGGGAGAGAGTGCCACCGACAGGCTTTGGGAATACCTGCCTCCGTAACAGAAACTCACAGTGTATAAAGATGAAGACTGGCTGGACCCGTCATGAGACAGGCGTGTTTTGAAGCAGCCGGGGCCATCACACAAGGATCAACAGCCAGAAATATTTGCATCTCACGGAGGCTGGATGGTTTTGTGAGAATTCAACCCCTGTGTTTTTATTGTAATTTAATCGGGGGGTCTGTGGGGCCATTCAGAACGGTCAGGGATGCTACTTTGCCTATTCGTGTCCCAAGCAATTACACCGAAGCATCTTCAGCTGAGTAAAATGTTTTAAATGAGTATAATCAATCAACAACTAAGAATCTTGCAGCCTACTTGTTAATTAAACTGTTTTCCAAGGCTCCTCCAAGAAAGTTGTGGAGTAAGAAATTAACAAGCCTCCTTCGAATAAACCAGGATAACAGCAAAGCTGAGTTGTAAGTCAGCACTTAAAAGCAAAGAAAGAACGAAAGATGGGGCGTTTGGGGGGTGTTTTGGAAGAAGCAGGAGGTTACTGTATACAGACCTGGCATTACAAGTTGTCAACAAAGGGCACTGAAAAAGGAGAAAAGAAGAACACAATGTAGTTGATGCTAAACAAAAGAACTTATTTACTTTCTAACTCCAGCAAAATGAACATGCTCCGAGACCAAAGATGGGTGTGAAGTGACAGAAAACCTTTTGAAGGCAAAGGCAGTTCTGTCTCCCGGATGCCAAGGGGATTCTGCGGTCAGGCATCCTCAGAGGCGGCTGGCTCCTGAGCTGCAGAGAAAGGTCTCTGGTCTCTGGGGCTGGCTGAAGAGCAGGGACTGGCACAGGGAGCAGAGAGGCGACACCAAGAGAGATGCCCAGCAGAGGCCCAGGGCACGAAGGGAAAAAAACAGCAAGGAAGAAGGCGAGAGTGTGAGGCAAAAGCGAAAAGGGAGACATGATGGGCTCGGGGGCTGGGGGGAGGGCCTTGGGGCACACCACCCTTGGGGACCCTTTGGAGATTAGGCCAGCCCCAAGTCACAGCGTGGCCTCCTCAGACAGTTCATGCAATTACCCAGCAGCAGGCAAAGCAAAGGGGCATCTCGCTGGCTTGTACACAACCGTGGATTTTGATTCATGACTGGCCAACCTGAGCAACATCATCTGCTGTGACTGACTCTGCCCGCAGGGAGAGGAGAGCTTTTCTTTTAAGCAGCACACAACCACCCTCTGTTGCGGCCACCCGGTGCCGGTCAGCTGTGAGAAGAGGCACAGAGGTCTGGCAAGCGGCTTCCACTGCTCCTCTGCAGAAGGTCTTTAAGAGGAGGCTGAAGGCAGTCCGAAGTTTTACATGGTCAAGAAAATGGATGACCTCCTTGCGCGGTGAGAGGAGGCTTCTTCCCTGCAGCATCACACAGTTGCAACGCCTGCCCCCCCCCCCCGGCTCCCCATGCCCAAACCCTGGGAGGGGGGCTTTATTTGTACCTTGCAGGGAACAGTTAAAGACCTTTCCTGAGTCTCTTTAAAAACATGGTACTTGCTTCCCCCCCCTTTTTTTTTCTGCACAAACGCATCCTAGTTTTGTTTTGTTTTTTGTGAGTCAGAAACTGCCACCCTGGTTACACAAGTTGATTTGAAAAGAGCTGCCATCCCCACAGAGACAAGCCTCCTGACTTCTACCACAGAGGCCCAGCAGAAACATCAATCTGAGGGCCCAGATCAGCTATCCTTTGGGGCAGACCGTTGCTCACCCTTGAAGTGCTGGCAAGGGGCAGGGGGTGCAGCCCTCTTGAATTATTCCAGGGGAAGATTTCTCCCGTAAGCAGTTTAAGTAATCCAAAGGTTCCCCAATATCTGTTCAAATATCACCTGGGAGACCAGCACTGCCCAAACTCCGCAAAGAGTCCCATTCTCTCCACCCCCAAACTGCAGTTTCAACCAATGCACCAGTGAACCCATGTGGGAGGGCAGACCCCCCCCCCCAGCTCAGAAAAGAAGTGGGGGGAAAACAGATCAGCTGTAACTCAGCACTCACACAAACATACACAACTTTTCAAAAAGAGGAAGCATCTTAGAAGACCAGCCTTTCCTTTGGTCCCCCAGACACGTGCTGGGGGGGGTGAGGAAGGGGAGGTGTCCACAGACCAGGATTTCCACAACAAGCAGCCTCATCACTCCTCAGAATCCTGGCAAAGATAGCCACGCAAGAGGCAAGCAAGCAGAAGACTTAATCAAGGCTGCGTTTGTGTCCGGAGTGGCCGAAGAAAGCTTCCTCCAGTGGAAATGACCGGCCTCCGCAGAAAGAGAGGATGGACTGGATCCTCGTCACCATCTCCTTTAAGAACCTGTAGCTAAAGAACTGTTTTTATTCCAGGACCGAATCTGCGCTGAGGCTCACCGAGACCTATTTTAAAAATATATGTATTTTACCTCTTGGAACTGACATTTTAGAAGAAGGAAGTGAACTCAAGGGCCTGCAGAGCATCCTTGAAAAAGGGCCCATTGGAGTGAATATAGATGCAGATTAGTACGAGCTTGTTGTGTCTACACGCAGTCAAGTGAAGATCAGTCAGTGTTACATTTCTAGCAGGTAGAAATAATTTTGGGAGTCTCACATTTTAACTCACCTGATTCATTCTGAAATCCGGACGTGCTCTGAGAAGTTAAACAGAAAGAAGCTCTTGTGATTACATAAAACCTAGAATGGAAAACAGATAATGGTCATTCAGTATGCTTTAAATACACAACTAAACGTAATTTTAATACGTAATTGTAAAAGCCCCTTATTTCACGTAATTGATTTTTTCCAAGATCGCTTGCTCAGTGCTCTGAAGGGCTCCCACAGGTGGCACGGGCATCAGGGCGGAGCAGGAGGCATTCCCTGGGGGGGGGGGGGAAGGCAGGCTGCCAGCGATGCCCTCTTTCCCCCTCCCTCCCTCCCCCCCTCCCCCCCTCCCTCCCCGCTGGGTCGCCTGCGGGGTCTGCGCTGCACTTGGGGAGCCGCCCCTGCCTGCTGCCCCCTCCCCCCGCACGCACGCACGCCAGCCCCGATGCCTTCGGGCGGGCGGGCCGGCCAGGGGAGCTGGGAGGGGAGGGGTCTCTCGCAGCCCTCCAGCCCCTCGCAGCGGGGGCCCCCCGCCCCCCCCGCGGGGCTCTTCCCGGGACGCCCCTCCCGGCCCCCTCCCGCCACCCCTCGGGGGGAGGGGGGGAGGGGGGGAGGGCCCAAGGGGGGGGCGGGACGCTCACCTGCGCGGCTCTCCCGGCCCCGGCCGGCCCCTCCGGTCGCCATCTTGGCCGCGGCGGCCCGGAAGTGACGTCGGCGCCGAGCAGGAAGAAGCCCCGCCCCCTCTCACGCCGGCCCCGCGAGGATGGACGGCGCCGGTGAGTCCCCTGCGGCTGAGTGGGGGGGGGGGCGGTTGGGGGGAAAGGAGACCCCCCCCGAGGCCCGCCTCCCTCTCCGCCGCCTCTCCGCCGCCCGCTGAGCTCGGCCCGGCCCACCTCGCGGGGTTGTTGTGGGGCGGATGGGGCAGGACGCTTTCCTCTCGCGCTGCGTTCGCCCCACACTCTCCTCCCCCCCCGCGAGGGACGCCCCCCTCCCCCTTTCCCCGTGTTTCTCTTCCTCCTTCCCTTCCCTTCTTTCCTCCCTCCCTCCCTTTCCTCCTTCCTTCCTTCCCTTCCCCTCTCCTTCCCTCCCTCCCTTTCCTTCTTCCTTCCTTCCCTCCCTCCCTCCCTCCCTCCCTTTCCTTCTTCCTTCCT